ATGCACTCACAGACGCGGCTCCCGCCTGAGATGAGCGAGTGAATGAGTGAGTGAAGATGAAGATGAAGATGAAGATGAAGATGCTGATAAAGATAAAGATGATGATGATGATGATGATGATGATGATGCTGATGACGGTGATGATGATCATGACGATGATGAGGATGCTGATGCTGATGACGATGGCGATGATGATGAGTGTGAGTGAGTGAGTGGGCGGGTAGGTTGGTGAGTGAGTGGGTCGGTACGTGTGTGAGTGAGTGAGTGAGTGAGTGAGTGATGATGATGATGATGATGATGATGATGATGATGATGATGATGATGATGATGTGTCTGTGTGAGTGAGTGGGTGAGTGAGTGGGTGAGTAAGTGGGTGAGTGAGTGGGTGAATGAGTGTGAATGATGATGTGTGAGTGATTGAATGAATGAGTGTGCGATTAGAGAAGAGGAGAGGGTGTGTTCTCTTGTTCCTGCGCGGAGTGTCTAGAGAAAAACGAGAACCCCACTTTGGATGTGGGGAACCAAACGATGGTGCTGTGATGCGGATGATGATGAGTGACGGGGGGTGGCCATGAGTGAAATGATTGGAAGTGGTCGACTGAGTGTGATGACGAGTGAGTGATGATTGACTCTGAGTGTGTGCGCGTAGGAATGATGATGATGGTGTGAGTGATTGAATGAATGAGTGAGTGTGCGGCGGGAGGAGAGGAGAGGGGGTGAGGTGTGAGGTTCCTGCGCGGGGTGTGTGTGCAGAGAAAACAAGATATCCACTTTGGACGTGGGGAGAAATCACCTTGGCTGACCCAAAAGGAGGTCCAGCTGAACGGGGGTGGTGCAACAGATTCGGGGCAATTGTATTGCAAACGTACTGCGCCAGAGGATTGCATTGCATGGTATTGCAGCTGATGCATTGCACGCGAAAGTCCAGCAATACATTTCGGCTCTGGCATGTATTGCACGCCCCAAGCAAATCTACTGCAACCCACAAATCTATTGCACCAAATCTATTGCACCACCCCCTTGTAGCTGCACCCCCTTTTAGGCCAACCACAGACTCACGACGCACAGAATTTGCTGCCTTCACCCTCCGGGGGCTCCTCGCTGGGCCCCGGGACGCTCACAACACGACTCGGGATGAGAAGCCGGTCCAAGGGACTGGGTCGAGACCTCTGGGTGGGGGTCGACGTCCAGACAAGATCATGACGTCGGGGGCCTGGGACCTAGAGGCCTCCTGGATGGGATCCGAGCGGATGAGGTCGGAAGATCGTGCCGCAGACTACAGAACCTCCCGGAACGGCGTACAGAAGCCTCCTCGATGTTCGAGTAGACGGGGTCGGAAGATCGCGCCGCAGACTCCAGAACCCTTTAGAACAGCCCCAAACGTGAAGAAGCCTCTTCGATCTTCGATCCTGGGGCCTCGATCTCCAGGAGGAGCGGGTGATCCCCCTAGTGGTGCTCCCCTTTTAGTGGCCTCTCAGATGGGGTCGGAATAGATGGGGTCGGAACATCGCGCCGCATCGCCGATGCAACGCCCATGCGTCGGGGATGCATCGCCGGTGACTTGGCGATGCACCGGCGACGTCGGCGATGCGTCGGCGCCGTCGGCGTGGAGAAACTCGGGATCCACATCGAGTCGCATCGCCGATGCATCGGCGATGCGGCGCGATCCTCGGACCCCATCTGCTCTGACCCATCATTTGGTAGGCCAAGATGGACAGCGGGGGGGGGGGAGCGTGCACAGTTCGCGCACCCTCAGGGCCCAGGGAGGGCGGTCCCTTCAGGGCCCCCAGCGTGCACAGAAAAGGTGTCCCTGCCTTCCCCCCGGTTTGTGTCGCCCCTCCAGCGCGCTCGGCCCAAGAAGCGCGACCTCTGGGCGATGGATGGCGAGACACGGGCGGGAGAAGAGACTTGCACCTCTTTCGGTGATCCTCAGAAGAATATTCTGAGGATCACCGAAGAAGGATCTTCAGAAGGATCTTCTGAGGATCATGTGCTCATCCTCAGAAGAATCTTCTGAGGATGAGCACACGTTGGCGTCAATGCATCTTAGATGCATTGGCGCCAACATGTGCTCATCCTCCCAGGCCCTTCGTCACGACGCAGGCGGTGCGAGAAGGGCCGACACGTCAGGCGGCGTGCTATCGGCGGGGCCGAGAGGGGCACGCGCACGGGGGGCTAACACGCGTCCTGAGATGAGGGCGGGCGAGGCAACGCGCACCCTTCGCGCAGGAAGAGGGGAAGGATGGAGGGGGGGAGGAGGGAGGACCTGCGGGCCAGGCGTTTCGCCGGAGACTTTCCCGCCGCTCGTGATCTAAATCTTGAAACTTGTGTGAAAAGATTCACAGATGCAGGGCGGGCGGTTTTCAAAAGGTGGTTCTCGCCTTATCGCCGCGCACGTTCGTCTCACGTAATCGTTTGCAAGAGCTTCACGAATGGAGGACGGGCAGTTGTCAAAATGCTGCTCTCGCCCTAATTAGCGCCGCGCACATTCGCCTGAACAGCTTACAACACATTCAGGAGTCTTATGGTTGACGTCCCAGAAACTCGGATTTTGCACGCTTTTGGATCGTCAGGGCCCGACAATCACTTTGATTCGCGGTGCTCACGTCCCAGAAATTGTTTCCTGGCACGATGTAGGATCGTCAGGTCGCAACAGTAACCGCGATTCGCGGCGTTGGAGTCCCAGGAAGGGTGCTTTCGCACAATTGAAACTTTTCAGACGGTTGTCTTCCAATGAGGCTCTTCCCGCAATGCATAGAAAGCCGTACAGGGGCCCATGAAGAGGAAACTTGGAGGAATACGTTGTTGCAACACTGTTGATGGGTCTTGTGTTTACACTGGTCCTCCTCCTCCTCCCCCTCCCCCTTCTCCTCCTCCTCCTCCTCCTCCAACTCCCCCTCCGTCCTACTCTGCCTTTCCTCCTCCTCCTCCTCCTCCTCCGCGTTCTACTACTCAGGATAAACACACCGACGAACGAATGCGTTCAGTAAACGCACGCGAGGAAAGAATCGTGCAGGGCAGGGCATTTCAGTAGAAGCTCCTGACTCTTCAGCATGACGCCAATTGAGGGTCATGGCGTTTGTTTCTCCCTTGATTTTTGGGCCCAAGGGGGACTCTCTATCAGGTCGAGGGAACCACTCTTAGAGCAAGCACGTGGGAAAGGAATCGCTCAGGGCAGGGCTCATCAGTAAAGGCCCAGAAGTGTTCAGCATAACTCCAGCTGTGGGGGTCGAGGCAGTTCTGTCTCCCTCGACTTTTAGGCAAAGGGGGCCCTCCATGAACATACGCTTGTCAAGCTCTGCGCAGATTTCTTGGATTAGCGCTGGGCCCCCTCCTTGGCGCGCGGGGCGCGACAAGGGCGGCGCCGGAGGCGCCGCCAGGGGGGCCCAACGCCAATCCAAGATATCTGTGCGGAGCTTCGACAGTTATGTTTATGTAGACTTCTTCTTCTTCTTCTTTTTCTTCTTCTTTGTTTTCTTCTTCTTCTGTGATCTGTAGGGGCCTTACAGTGCACGAAAAGAGCACCTTTCATAAACCCCCAAATGGAAACTTTGGTGCCTGTTCCGTGGGAGCCAGCGTGGCCCCTTAACGCTGCCCGAGCTGGGCATGGTTTGGACTGGATTCGAAGCACATTTAGAATCGGACTTGGACCAGATTGCAAGGAAGACGAGAAGAACGCGAAGGGGGAGGGGGAACAGGAAGGGCAGGGAGGGGCAGGAGGAAGGGCAAAATGCGGTCCAAATACAGGTAAAGCTGATTCCAATGTCTCCGCCCAAGGCTCCTATGAACAGAAATCGAACCAGGACCGGCCAGACCAGACCAGCCTGCGACGCGAACCGAACCAGCCGGACCGAGCTGGTCTTGGACGTGAACGGTCGGCAGCGTTTCGGCAGCGCTGGTGTTTGCGCTGCTCTAGCTCCGCTGCTGGGGCTTGAACTTCGGATTTCGATTTCAAACCGAAGGAAATGTGGGGAGGCCCAGGGAGGTCGAAGCGCGCAATGTCAACCGCGGCGACTACGACAGAAACACACGCGTTGTGCTCTGCAGCGTTTGCATTGCGCGAGCCGCACATGGTTTGGGGACGTCTAGGTCTCTGGGTCTGGCTGGTCTGGCATTGAATGCCTCACTCTTGCGGGTGCTGGTCTGACGGGTCTGGACTGGTCTGTGTGCGGCTGTTCTGGGTTCGTCGAACTTTCTGAATTGCATGGCTATCCTGACATGACTTTTCCGATACCTGGATGGTCTGCTTGATTGGTCTGCTTAGTCCGGCGCGTTTGGTGCACTCTTAGTCGGGGATCTACCGACTGACACGGGTCAATCCAAGCTGGGCTCGGCCAGGCGTTGCAAGATCTTGCAGGATCCTGCTGCAACATCCTGCAGGATCCTGCAACCAAGCCCGGGTCAATGCGACCCTGGCTCTGCAGCGATCCTGCAAAATCCGGCGCTCTGACTGACCGCTGTCGGCATTGACTCCCGCAGCCGAGCCGGCCGAACCCGACTGGGCGCGCGCCCAACCGAACCGAACCGAACCGCGGCTCTGGTGTTTGGCGCCCCCGCTGGCGGAGCGCCCGAGGCCTCGGCCGCCCAGGCCCGCCGGGCGGCGCTGTCGCCGAAGAAGCCCGCGGGCGCGGGGGTCACGAAGCGCAGCCTATGGTGGTCCTGCGCGGCGGCGGCGGCGGGGATGCGAGAAATTTCGGTGGCAACCCATGGGGGCATCCCATGCCATCTTGCGGGCTCTTGCGAGTCGGCGGTAAATCGGCGATAGCCGACGCTAAGTCGACGATGATCGACGCCAATTCGATACCAAGTCGGCGCGACATCGAAGCTGATCGACGCTGAATCGGCGCGTTCTCATGTCGACTGCCAGGCACCATCGCACGCTCGTGCACCCTGAAGACAGAATTTGACTACCCTCCAAACCACCCCAACCCAACCCGAAGACCCGAATTTCGGGTTGGGGGGGGTACGAGCTTCATGTGTGTTTTCTCAACGTTCCCCGACCCTCCCCAACTGGAAATGGCAGGTTGGGGCCTTCGGGTTGGGTTGGGGTGGTTTGGTGGGCGGTGAGAATTGCGAGGACACACGACGCTCCCGTGATTGGCCACCGAAAAGAGGTCTCGCCAGATCCTTTCCCCGCGGCGGTCGTTGCTGTGGGGGGCGGGGCTGCGGCCCCCGGGGGCAACGGTAACACCTGGGCGAGGCGCGGGCGCGCTGCGATCGCCACAGCATGGGGATCCAAACCTCCCCGCCCGCGTGCGATCGTAATCGCTGCCGTTATCCAGGGAGGGGGATTGAGAAGGGTAACGACTGTCACGCGCCACAAGCTGGTAACAAAAACAGGATCAGAGGAACTTGTACCGAAAGCGCTGCTCGCCCTGAAGCGCCATTATCGCCACGCCTGGACTGTCTTCGGAATTCTGGTCAGGATGCACCTTGGGAGAGGTCCCGGGAATGACGGCGTCGCTACCTTTCTTGCCTAGATGGAGAGAAAAGAAGCGAGCAGAATCAGCCGACCCCCGCTTGCCTGGGGTGTGAAGGCGTGCGAGATATCCGGCTGTCTCCCTACTCCTGTCCCCCTCCCCCATAACAAAAATCGCGATTGGGGGGGGATGGGGGGTGGGGGACGGAACTCCTAGGGTTGCTAGAGCCTCCAAATCTAGAGCCCGTGGCCTCCCAAATGTCCAAGATTCCAAATAAGTCTGCGCAAGCTGGGCTCCCAAACGCCATCTCAAAACCACCCTAGATATATCCTCAAGGCAGACCAACCAATCTCCTAGACCCCCCAAGAGAGCTACGGCAGGTTCGCGTCGTGCCGACCCCAGCGTTGGTTTTTGACACCGCAGGGATCGTTCAACCTTGAACGATCGGCCGCTGCCGCAACGTCCGATCGTTCAACATCGATCGATTCTGGGTCGCCGGCGGCGTTCAACCTTGAACGTCCGCGCTGGGGTCGCCGCTGGTCGACACGACGCAAACCTACCGTACAAGAGGACCGCTGAGAAGGCCGCTAGGGGCAAACGTCGCCCCATTCACTTAGGAAAACACACTTGTTTTACAGGCGCGCTGCCAACGGGCCCAACGATCGTCCCGAGATGGCCCCAAGGCCACCAGAAGGCCCCAAAGAGGCCCCCAAGAAAACCCCAAAGCGCCAGAAGACGGCCCAAGGGGCTCCAAAGACGGCCCAAAACGAGTGCCAAGAAGACCCCTTAGGGGAACCAGAAAGGGGGAATACGAATTGACACTTCAAGCCTTTCCCCCCAAGATGGCTCCAATCAACCCCCAGAGAACACCAAGAAGACCCAAGAGGCCTCCCCTAGGCTCCCAAGAAAGTCTAAAGAAGCTCTCAAGAAGCCCCGAAAAACCACGAGCCCTCAACGAAGCCTAACCTAAAAGGTCGCGGAATGGCGCAAGCCACTTGAATGGTCAGGCAGGGGTCTGACTCCTCCCAAAGCCATTTTAGAATCCCCCCCGTCTGAGAAGACCTGCATCGGAGCAGGAGCAGACCCAGAACGCCTCGCAGAAGGCATCGGCCCTGGACGCGCATGATACAGAATGACTACAATTGCGCATGCAAACTCTCGGCGAGGCGCGGCCGACGCGGAAGAACCGCAAAAACCGGCCTAGAACGACTCCTGCGACGAACGCCGCGCAAAGGCCAGCGCCTTGGGGAAGGCATATGCCCCAGACTCGGAGGATGCAGACTCCAAAGTTCTGCATCATCCAGGACACTCTTCGGAAGACACGGGCGAGGCGCGGCTGATGGAAACTCTCTCTGGTTCACTGCTTCGCGCATCTATGCTTACGGCCACTGAACTCGTTGACCAGGCACGATCGATAAACCTAGTTTCAAAAAGCGCAAGCTTGAAGCTCCAGACGTGAGCTTGAGCTTGAGCTTCAATTGTTCTGCCTTGCATGTGTTGCGCTGTGGCTTCACTGCCAGAACTTAACCACAGGATTCCGCGTGCCAGCCGAACGTAGTTTGGGACGACAGAGGGAGGTGCGAAGAACGCAGTGCCGACTACGACCACGACGGCAGAAACAGTTCGTGCTGCACTGCAATGATCGGTGAATTGCAACGTACGCTGCATTGTAGTTTCCTATTGCGCTGCAGCTACGCTGCTACAGCAGGAGCTTAGGATTTCGCGTGCGAAACGAACATGGTTTGGGGAGGTCCAGGAAGGAACACACGCGCGCAATGTCAACAACGGCCAATAGGACAGAACACCACATTTTGTTTGCATTGCGATGCTGTTGCGTTATTGCTGGTTATGCGTTGTCGTTTCCTGTTGCGCTGTAGCTTCGCTGCGACTGCTCGAGACTGGAATTTCGCGTGCGAACAGAACGTGGGTTGGGGAGGTCCAGGGAGGTGCGAAACGCACAATGTCAACCACGGCCACAAGGACGGAACAACATGTATCGCTGTACTTGCAACATGTTTTGCAGTGCCATTGTTTTCGGCAGTGCATGTATTTCGCTGTAGTTTCGCTACTGGAGCTTGAACTCAGGTCTTCGTGTGCGAATCGAACGTGGATAGGGGAAGTCCAGGGAGATCGAAGCGCGCGGCGTCAACCATAGCGGCTACGGCAGAAACGCACGTTTTTGTGTGCATTGCCCCCTTTTTACATTGCAAGTTTCTGCTGCATCGCAGTTGCTGATGCGTTGCTTCTTTTGCGCAGTAGCTTCGCTCCCGGATCTTGTACTGCGGATGTCGCGTGCGAACCTAACGTGGTTTGGGGGTGTCCAGGGCGGTGCGAAGCGGGCAACGCCAATCACCATGACAGAAGCCACAAGTGTTTTGCATTGCCGTGGATTGTTGTATTGCCGATGTATCGGCATCACAATGTTTGGGCGCTGTCGATTCGCTGCTAGAGCTTAAGACTAGGATTTGCATGTGCGAGCCAAGCGTAGCTTGGGGACGCCCAAGATCGCAACGCCAACCACGACGACGGAGACAGAAAGACCGTTGTGGTTTGCATCAATATGCTTGTGCGTTGCAATGTTTCGGCAGCGCTGGTGTTTGTGCTGCTCTAGCTCCGCTGCTAGGGCTTGAACTTCGGACTTCGATCTCAAACCGAACGAAATTTCAGGGAGGCCTGGGGAGATCGAAGCGCGCAATGTCAACCGCGGCGACTACGACAGAACCACACACACACGTGTTGTGCTCTGTAGCGTTTGCATTGCAGTTTTCTTGTGTATCGCAAGTGTTGCTACGTTGCTTCGTTTGCGCTGCAGCTTCGCTTCTAGAGCTTAGACTTAAGATTTCGCGTGTGAGCCGAACGTGGTTTGGGGACGCCCAAAGCGGTGGGAAACGCGCAGTGCCAACCACCACTACGGAACAACTTGGTTGGTTTGCGTTGCAATTGTGTTCGCATTGCAATTGCATCTGCGTTGCATTGGTTGCGCTGTACTTCCGCTGCGGGAGCTTGAGCTTAGGATTTCGCGTGCGAGCCGCACATGGTTTGGGGACGTCTAGGTCTCTGGGTCTGGCTGGTCTGGCATTGGATGCCTCACTCTTGCGGGTGCTGGTCTGACGGGTCTGGACTGGTCCGTGTGCGGCTGTTCTGCTTGGCACGGTTCGTCGAACTTATCTGAATTGCATGGCTATTCTGAAATGGCAATTCCGATATCTGGATGGTCTGCTGGTCTGCTTAGTCTGGCGTTTGGTCCACTTCGTCTGGCTGATCTGGTTCGTCTGGTCGGAAGGGTTTGTTTCGGATCCGATCCAGGTTAGTTTGTCTCATCGGTTTGGTCGCGCAGGTTCCTTCTCTTGTCTCGTTGGTTCGCTTGGTTTGGTTTGTTCGCGTCGCTGCGCTGGACTTGGTTGCTTGGCTGGCCTGGTTTGCTTGTTATGGTGAGGTGTGCTATGACTGGTCTGCTCTAGTGTCGTTTGTCTGGTATTGCGTCCCTCGCTGATGTTGGTGCTGGTCTGACTGCTCTGGTCTAGTCTGTGCGTGGCTGTTGTGGCGTGCGTGGTTAGTCTCGCCGGTTCGCATGGTTAGTCTCGCTGATCTGATTGGAATGGTCGGTTTGAGGTGGCTGCTCCGACATCTGGCTGGTCTTGTGTGCCCTTTGGTCTGGGGTTGGTCTGGTCGGCAGGGTTTTCTCGGATCTAATCCAGATTACTTGGTTTCATCGGTTTGTTTGCGCAGGCCCCTTCTCTGTCGTCTGGTTAAGTCAGTTGGTCTGCTTTGTTCGGTTTGCTGGGGTGGCCTTTGTTGGTTGGTCTGGTTTGCTCGGTATGGGCTTGTCTGTCCTGACTAATCGAATAGTTGGTCTGGTCTAGTCTGGTTGGTCTGGTTTGCCTGGTCGGTTGATTGATCCTGGTTGGTGGTCGATTGGTCACTGTACCCGGTCTGCGTTGTCCGCTGACTTGGCTGGTTCAACTCGTGTCTCTGGCTTTTTTCCAGGTCTGACCGCTGTGCTGGACTTGGGCGTGGACGAGGAGCAGCAGCTGGAGCAGCAGCAGGAGCCACAACAGCGCGCGAAGGGGGAGAAATCAAAGGACTGGCCATCGCTCGGACGTCCATTCCCTGCGTTTTTCCCGTGGTTTCGTGCGTTTTTTCCGCCAAACGATCAAGGATGCTCCTCGATGGTCCTCGCCGAGGGAGAAATGCACACGTCCGAGCGATGCCAAGAGGAGGATCGAGGGGAAAAGCGAGGGAAGCTTGCTTCTCAGCAGCCATGACAGCTCCCTGGCCCCAACGCACAGTTCAACTCGGCGATAGGGCCGAACAACTGTTAGTTTCCACTCTAGCGGCTTAGAATCTGACTTGGGTAATGCACTCGAGCAGGGACCGACCGTCCCAGCATTCCTATAAGCCTACCACAGAATATCCTTAGAACCTAAACATGTTCTAATGCATGCTCTCAGAACATAAGCCCGCCGTGTCAACACATGATCGTCTCAGCCAGAAATCTTCGAAGACCGTTTCGTGCAAACTACAAGAGGTTCTTCGAACATTCTTTGGTAAGCCTATAGGCGGGCTAGGACTCTTCGCCACTGCTTGATGCACTTGTCGATGTTGACAGGCCGAAATCAGGCACAAGGCACCTCCGACACCTACCAGCTAGGCCCTGGTCAATCTTTGGACGTGGCGCCATGCCGCGCCAGAAGGCGCTACTGAGATCTCCAGGAGCTGAGCCCCATGAGCCCCGTGCCCGCCTGGCCCGCCAGGCGGATCTTGGACGAGACACGAAAATAGCCAAACATACCCAAACCGTGCCAGACCGTAAGCAACAACATCGCCCCCCTACTGTGTGTTGAGCTGCTTTTGAATAGTCCTCCTCTCGAGGGACGTGCCCGCCTGGCCCTTCGCTCCCCTGCCGTGCCCCCCCCCCCCCGTCCCCCGTGCCCGCGCCTCCCTGCGCTGCCCCCGCCCGCCTCGCCACGGCTCGGCGCCCGAGGCCCGGCCGCCGTCCCGGCGACCGTCGCCGCCCCGCAGGGCAGACACCTCGCGGCTCGCTCCGCCGCGCCCCACGGCGCAACCCGGGAGGCCGGGAGCCTGCCCCGCAGGGCCACCCCGGGGAGGGGGGCGCCCGGGGCCCTCACCAGCTGTCACGATGTCCTCGGCTTCTGCTGGGATGCGTCTCGGGCGCCTGCTGGGGAGGCCCCTGGGGGGCCTTCTCCGGGCCTCCTGGGGAAGTCACGGAGCCGTTGGGGAACTTCTGGCGGCCTCGCTTTCATCTTGGGGTGGAAGGCTCGAAATGAAAAGTTGCGTTTGCCCGCTGAGGCCTCCCTGGGATCCCCCTTCGGGTTCTCTTGGGCCGTCTTCGACGCCTCCCGGGCCGTCTTGGGGAATCGGGAAAAACGTGGTAACGCTACATCGTGCACCGCTGCCATACACAGAAGGTATGTGGAAAGGCATGTAACGGTAATGGTTGAGAGGGATAGTGGCTCATTCCTCCTCTCAGATGGTGCCAGCAGGTGTGCTGGTAGTCAGATGACCGGGCGAGCATGCCGCGAGCCCAGGCAGCAGCGGAGCACGTGTCGCGCCCCCCTCCCCGGCGCCTCCCCTCCAACTCGGGGAAGGCAGGACCTCCGAGCAAGCATGCTCGCGCGGATGATTGCTCCTCCCTTGCCGGCACGACCGTGCTCGACAACTGGCTCTGCCTGAGGCAAAGCGAGAGCACCCCAGCGGAGACCCCGACTGCGGCCAACCTCGGACCAGCCTGCACGCCTACGCGCCGAGTGGCCGACTCGAGGCCCATCGCCCGAGCCCCTCGACCGAGCCATCTCGGTGTCCAGCCAGTCGGCGAGGCTAGAGGCTTCCTGGATGGAGTCGGCGTAGACGGGGTCGGAAGGTCGCGCAGCATCGCCGATACATCGGCAATGCATCGGCGATGCGCCGGCGATGCGTCGTCGACGTCGGCGATGCATCGGCGACGTCGACGTGAAGCAACTCGGGCTGCACATCGAGCCGCATCGTCGATGCATCGGCGATGCGGCGCAATCTTTCGACCACACCTACTCCGACCCCATTTGGGAGGTCTAGAGTCTAGAGTGGTGCACAGCCTTTGATTTCGGCTCCGAGGGGGCGAACAACTATGCACCCGACCACTCCCGGGCCCCAAAAACGACGCCGCCTCTCGCTCGCTCGTCCTCGCCAGCCGCCGCTCGGAGGCGGCGCCGTCGTCCTTCACCGCCTCGGCGGCGTCGGCGACGTCGGCGGCGTCGTCGTTCACCGTCGTTCGCCGTCGGCGCTCGTCGTCGCTCGTCGCCGCTCGTCGCCGCTCGCTCCTCGTCCTCGCTCCTCGCCCTCCCTCGCCGCACGCGGGGGCGGCGCCGGCGCCGGCCGCGCGTCCTGCCAGTCGGCCCACTCCCAGCGCTCCCAGGCCGCGAGGCAGGCCGCGGCCGCCCCACCGCCCTCGGCGCCGGCGCGCGCCTCCGCCCGCGCGGCCGCGCGCCCGCGGGCCTCGGCTGCGGCGCGCCGCCTCTCGGGCAGGAGCCGCCGCCGCCCGACGCCGCCGAGCGCCGAGCAGCGAACGACGGCGAGCGCCGCCGAGCGCCACCCGAGCGAGCGCCGAGCGAGGACGAGCGAAGACGCCAAGCGAGGACGAGCGCCGCCAAGCGCCAAGCGAAGACGCCGAGCGAGGACGAGCGAGGAACAACGACGAGCGACGGCGCCGCCCGCTCGCCGAGGCCGCCGTCGCCAGCCGAGCGAGGAGCGCGAGCGAGGACGAGCGAGCAAGGGCTCATAGGACAATTACCCTGCGACGTACCCAACCCTTTCTATACATGTGGTGGTTACACTCGGGACCACTCAATGCTGACGTGCATGCTGAAAAAAACCGCAGTGCGGAAGAAGAGCACCCATCAGTGAACTCAGAAGAGGGCAGCAAGAAGAGCAGCGGCAACGCGTAAGACGTACCTCTGCTGGGCCTCCCAGGAGCCCACGAAAGTGGCGACAGTTGCACAGATCGAAGCCCCCCAGGGCGCCGCGAGGTCTCGAGGTGGTTCGCGTGGGACGTACTTCTGCTGGGCCTCCCAGAAGCCCACAAAAACGGCGACAGTTGCGCAGATCGCAGCCCCCAAGGGCACCGCGAGGTCTCGATGTGCCTCCTCCTCCTCGTCCGCCTCCTCCTCCTCCTCCTCCTCCTCCTCCTCCTCCTCCTCCTCCTCCTCCTCCTCCTCCTCCTCCCCTTGGGCCGTCTTTGGGCGCTCTTGGGGGCCTGCTCGGTCCGCCTCGGGACGGTCTTGGGGGCCTCCTGGGCCGTCGCGTGCCCCTCTCGGGGCCGTCTAGGCCCCCAAGAGCGCCCAAAGACGGCCCAAGGGGAGAATGAGGAGGAGGAGGAGAAGGAGGAGGAGGAGGAGGAGCAGCAGCAGGAGGAGCAGGAGGAGGAGGAGCAGGAGGAGGAGCAGGAGGAGGAGGAGCAGGAGGATAAGAAGGAGGAGGAGCAGGAGGAGAAGGAGCAGGAGGAGGAGGCGCAGGAGGAGGAGCAGGAGGAGGAGGAGGAGGAGGAGGAGCAGGAGGAGGAGGAGGAGGAGCAGGAGGAGGAGCAGGAGCAGGAGGAGCAGGAGGAGCTCGAAGAGGAGGAGGAGGAGGAGGAGGAGGAGGATGAGGAGGAGGAGATGCAGCAATTGAGAGAGCGAGGAGTATCATGGGGGGGTCTCTTGGGCCGTCTTGGAGCGGTCTTGGAAGCCTCGTGGGACGTCCTGGAGCGCCGGGAGCTCGAAAGTCGAGGATACCAGAAACATAGAACAACTTTTTGTTGCTATGGAGAAAAAACGTCCTCGCGTCTGGCAGAACGTCAAGCTCAAGCTAATGTGAAATCGGGGCCCAAGTCCCCGTGGGCATGCAGAACATTGGCGCCACTTCTGTGGCCCAGGCGGCGCCAGAGCACTGCTTCCCGCGGATCCTGGAAGCCATGTCGAACAGCTACCTCGCGGGCGTGTGCATCTAATCGCGAGCACATAGTCTCGGAGGCAAAAGCGGAGAAGAGAAGAGGAGAAACAGGAGAAACAGCATTGAAACACCTATGGGAAATCAATGGTGTGTGCCTCTTGGGGCCCTCTGGGGAGCCCTCGTCGAGTCCTTTTGGGCCGTCTTGAAGCTATCTGGTGTCACTGTGACGTAACTGAAGGCCGTCTGGGCGGCTCTCGGGCCCCTGGAAAGGGGGCCCGGAGAACCCAGAGCCCCCATGGCGACCCGAAGCAGCAGGGAGGCCCCCTGTTCTGTACCCAGACCTCTCTCTCTCTCTTTATCCCTTTCTCTCTCTCTCTCTCTCTTTACCTAACAGCGAAGACTGATAGGTTTCTAGTGGGATCAAAAGAGAGCAGCAGATCACTCCACAGGGGGGTCCGGGCAGGTGTTGGGAGTTGCCGGGCGGCAGGTGCCGGGCTCGTTTTTCACCAACAGTCACACACTTCGTGCTCTTCGACTTCCCAGAACTCCATTCCCAGGCCACATTCTCAATACCCGGATGCAACAGTCACACACTTCGTGCTCTTCGAGATCCCAGAACGCCATTCCCGGGCCACATTTAGAATAACCGGATGCAACAGTCACACACTTCGTGCTCTTCGAGTTCCCAGAACGCCATTCCCGGGCCACATTCCGGATGCAACAGTCACACACTTCGTGCTCTTCGAGTTCCCAGAATTCCATTCCCGGGCCACATTTTGGATGCCCGGAGCCAACTGTAGGCCACTTCGTGCTCTTCGAGTTCCCAGAACTCCATTCCCGGGCCACATTTTGAATGCCCGGAGCCAACTGTAGGCCACTTCGTGCTCTTCGAGTTCCCAGAACTCCATTCCCGGGCCACATTTTGAATGCCCGTAGCCAACTGTAGGCAACTTCGTGCTCTTCGACTTCCCAGAACTCCCATTCCTGGGCCACATTTTCAGCAGGGGCAAGAGCACGACGAGGAGGAGGACGAGCAAGACCAGGAGGACGAGGACGAGCAGGAGCAGGACGAGGAGCAGGAGGAGCAGGAGAAGAAGGACGAGCAGGAGGAGGAGGAGGACGAGCAGGAGGAGGAGGACGACCAGGAGGAGGAGGACGACCAGGAAGAGGAGGAGGAGGAGGAGGGGAGGGGGAGGAGTACCAGGAGGAGGAGGAGGAGGAGGAGGAGGAGGAGGAGGAGGAGGAGGAGGAGGAGGAGGAGGAGGAGGACGAGGACGAGGAGGAGGAGGAGGAGGGGGGGGGAGAGTACCAGGAGGAGGAGAACGAGGACCACCAGGAGGAGGAGGAGGAGGAGGAGGAGGAGGAGGAGGAGGAGAGGACACCAGGAGGAGGAGGACGAGCAAGACGAGGAGGACGAGAACGAGGACGACCAGGAAGAGGAGGAGGAGGAGGAGGAGGAGGAGGGGAGGAGGACTACCAGGAGGAGGAGGAGGAGGAGGAGGAGGAGGAGGAGGACGAGGAGGAGGAGGAGGAGGAGGACGAGGAGGAGGAGGGGGGGGGAGAGCACCAGGAGGAGGAGAACGAGGACCACCAGGAGGAGGAGGAGGAGGAGGAGGAGGAGGAGGAGGAGGAGGAGAGCACCAGGAGGAGGAGGACGAGCAAGACGAGGAGGACGAGAACGAGGACGAGCAGGAGGAAGAGGAGGAGGAGGAGGAGGAGGAGGAGGAGGAGCAGGAGAAAGAGGAGGAGGAGGAGGAGGCAGGCTGAGGCTGAGGCTGTGACTGCGACTGCCGTTGCCGCTGCGACTGTCATCGCGAATGCGACTACGACTGCGAGAACAGCAGAATTCTACAACTGGATTTTCATCTGAATCTTAAGGGGAATGCTTTCAGATATGCTTCTACACATCGCTGTTAGGTTGCTTTGCCGGGATAATTTTACCTAACAGCGAAGACTGATAGGTTTCTAGTGACTCAAAAGAGCTCACAGATCACTCCACAGGGGGGTCCGGGCAGGTGTTGGGAGTTGCCGGGCGGCAGGTGCCGGGCTCGTTTTTCGCCAACAGTCACACACTTCGTGCTCTTCGATTCCCAGAACTCCATTCCCGGGCCACATTCTGGAGGGCCGGATGCAACAGTCACACACTTCGTGCTCTTCGAGTTCCCAGAACTCCATTCCCGGGCCACATTCTGGAGGGCCGGATGCAACAGTCACACACTTCGTGCTCTTCGAGTTCCCAGAACTCCATTCCCGGGCCACATTCTGGAGGGCCGGATGCAACAGTCACACACTTCGTGCTCTTCGAGTTCCCAGAATTCCATTCCCGGGCCACATTTTGGATGCCCGGAGCCAACTGTAGGCCACTTCCTGGTCTTCGAGTTCCCAGAACTCCATTCCCGGGCCACATTTTGAATAGCCGGACGCAACAGTCATACAATTCTTCGTACTTGACACCCCAGAACCTTATTCCCGGGCCACATTCTGATTAACGGGATGCAACAGAAATGCATTTCGAGCTCTTTGGCATCCCAGAACCCCATTTCCAGGCCACATTCGGAATAACAGGATGCAAGAGTCAAACACTTCGTGTCCGAGACCTCCCAGAACGCCATTCCCAGGCTACATTTGGAAAAATTGCACACAAGAGGTATACACGCCGGGTTATCTGGCTGTCTGGAACGGCAATCCCGGGATACATTCAGAGTCATCCCGCGCGACAGTCACACACTTTGTGTGTGCTTTGTGACCTCTCAGAGCTTCATATCTGGGCGACACTCCTGGGCAACACTCGTTCTCACACTATCATGCAACACTCATACACAGTGTCCTTGTCGTCTTGTCACATCTCAACTTTCAATTCCCTGACACAACGTTGAGAAACTTACCTGATACAACTTGGAGAAACATACTTTCAAGCTCCATGCGTTGATAGCAGTGTCTCCTTTGAACAAGCATCCATTCATTTTCCTTGCGTTGATAGCAGTGTCTCGTTTGGACATATATCTATTCCAGTTCCGTGCGTTGATAACAGTGTCTCGTTTATACATGTAGTCATTCACGCGACATGCGTCCATGGCAGTACCTTGTTTGACAACACATCGAATCAAGCTCAGCGCGACGATGACAACAACTTTTGCATCACTATTACCGTTACTGTTGATATCACAGTGCCTCTCACTGCTGCTGCATGTTTCAGTTATACTTAGAAACATCGCTGTTAGATTGCTTTGCCGGGATATTTTTTTTTTCTCTCTTTCTCTCTCTCTCTCTCTCTCTATATATATAAAGATGTATCGAAGACGCCTACGGCGAATCATCGCCGCCTCCTGCCTTTGTGGGAGCGCCCATGTGGCCGACAGCTGGGTTAGAGCTTGGCCAAGCTATCGGACCATGTGTTCCCCGAGCCGATATGGAAAGCCTTCGTGGAACACGTGGGGGAGGAAGCGGAAGAGGAGGAGGAAAAAGGAGAAGGGGGAGGATGTCTCTCTGGAGCCTCTTGAAGCACTCCTGGGTTCGATTGGGGCATCTTGGGATCGTCTAGGAGGCCATGTTGGGGCTACCTTGGGCTTTCTTGGGGCTTCTTGTGGGCCTCTTGGGGCCCTTTTGGGGCTTCTCGGTGGCCTCTTTCGCCGTCTTATGGCGTTCCTGGCCCTTCTGACGACCGTCGGGAGCCGTCTTGGGGGCCTCTCTGAACCGACTTGGGATCCTCTTGGGGCGCTTCGGGGCCGTCTTGGAGGCCATCTTGGGCGTCTTGGAAGTCTCTTGGGCCGTCTTGGGGCCCTTTGGGGGCCGTCTTGGAGGCCTCTTGGACCGTCATGGGGCTCTTGGACCCATCTTGGGCGATCCTCGGGCGATCTTGGGGGCCTCTTGGGCCGTGTCTTGGGCCTCTTGGGCGGTCTTTGGGGGCACTTGGGCCGTCTCGGGCCGCCGGAAGGCAGAACAAATACTGCCCTCGCCTCTGGTGGGGTGGGCGCGCCGACCTTGGGACAGCAGCCAAGACGCTGCCGGCGCGGCGGGCGAGAGAGCCCTTTGCGCGACGCCCCCGCACCGACTCCACACTCCCCAGGAGGATCCAAACGCGACCATTGCGACGAAAATATATCAGAGCACACAGGGATGGGCGGGCGGGTTTCAAGTGCCCCGCTTGTCCTGGCCCACACCGCGAGGCCAGAGCAGGGCCCCAACTTGGGGCGGAAACCTGATACCCTGCCCCCGCGCCAGGCGGAAGCCGTTGCAGAACGGGCCCCTTAGGGCCACTTCGAGCCGGATACTTGCTACCCCGCCTCCGCGCCAGGCGGACACCTGAAGCCTCCGCGCCACGCGGAGTGTGGAACTCTGCGAGACGCTTGCCCCTGCAGAGAATGAAATCCGCCGCTCCCGTGGGAGCTCCCAAAGCCATAAGGGCCCCCTGGCACACCGAAGCGCACGAAGCCCATGAACCAGAAGGTACACGAATCGAAAAACCCCGTCTCGGTTGCAGATTTTCCTCCCCTGCGAAACCTCCGATTTAGGGGGTATGAAAATATACTGCCCTCGCCTCTGGTGGAGCGGGCGCGCCGACCTTGGGACAGCAGCCAAGACGCTGCTGGTGCGGCGGGCGAGAGAGCCTTTTGCGCGACGCCCCAATGGTGAGGGCTCGACGCGCCCGCCCCGAAGAGCACCCCCAATGCTGGCGACTCGTGCCCCGAGCCACGCACGCGGGGCGGCGTCGGCCACTTGCAAATTGACACTTGCGACCTGCTATGTTTCTCACGACTCGGCGCCAGAATCGCCGTCTGACGACTCGGAAAACTCCGCCGCCCACTGCGCAGCAAACATTTCGCCTTGCGCTTGGGCGGACGCGTAGCCGAAAGCGGCCAAGCCGCGCCAGCCGCCGGAGTAGAACAGCGCCGGCACCCCTCCCTCGGCGGAAGCAGCGGGTCCCCCACTCGGCGCCTCGGGGCAAGCCGATGGCAAGGGAAGCCGTTCATAGCGCTACAAACGCCCGTTCGTGCTGGAACGACGGAAACACCTTAAACGACGCAGAATGCAGACGCCACTCAGAACCGAGGCCATATCTCTGCAGACGCACTGTCGCACGACGTGCGCCGGCTTGCTCTGCATCTTCCTTCTGTTGAACACGATCGTTGCCTCAGGAACGCCTTCGCGCACGGCGCTGCTAAATGCCGAGTGTTCATCGCCGCCCCCCAATTCCAGAACTTCGCTGCCATGCCGCAGAGCGAAGCGCCTCGCTACCACCCAGCTGTCCGAAAGTTCTGTATCCCCAAGCGTCTCGCGCGCGTGCGCCGCAAGATCGCGGACCTGTTTGGCTGTCGCGCTGGCCTTGAACCGGGGCGCAGCAGTAGAGCTTTTCATCGCCCCTTTGACGAGCGAGCTGGTACCAGCAAGCGCGCCCAAAGGCGCCTGAAGCAGATGCAATGTGGACCACAAGTGCGAACAGTATCGCGAGGGGGTGGAAGCACGAGGAACGGCGAACACCAGCGCCGACAACACAACCTCGTCTGGCGGCCGCTCCGGGGCGCCGGCAGCCTCGGCGAGTTTGCCCCGCAGTCGCACTGCCGACGCGTACTGCGGTCCGCTTTTCTTCCAATTCTGAATTTCTTGTAGCAGCAGGTGGTCGTGCAGCAAAGATGTCCGCGTTTGCTCCGGGGCGCCGGCTAGCCACTCTGCCCGCGCTGACGGCAGCGCCGAACTCGGCCCCGATTCTGGGGCCGTCGCGGCAGGCGCCATGCACGCGACCGCGATGGCCTCGGCCGGCGCTACTGCGGGGTGCGCAGCTTTGGGGGCCCTGGCCTGCACCAAAAACTCCACCGCCGCGGCCGCGCAGTCGGCGCTGGGCGTAGCAGGCCGGGAGCGCAAGATCTTTCCCCGGCCTGCTTCGCGGCGCAGTCAGCCGCCGCCTCGCCGCGCGCGCCTGGCGCCCAAGCCGCTGCGCGGAGGAAAGCGTCCGACGGCGTTCTCAAAGCTGGCCATGCCTCCCGCAGCTCGTCCAGAGTAAGACCTTGCAGGTCGCTGCCGTGCACCGCCCCGCCGTCTGCCAGCGCCCGAAGAAGAAGATCCGGACGGTCTGGGCGGCAGGAAGGCGGCGAGCGCGCCAGCGCACCATGGAGCCACTGGCGAAGACCAGCCGGGATCTCCGCCTCGATTGCCTCGCGGGGCTCTGCAAGGATCCCGGCGCGCATCGGGCGCCGCCGCGCCCGACCCGCGGAGCGTCGAGGAGCTGAGAACGACAGCTGCCCTGCGACTGCGGCCACTAATCTGAGCCAGCAGCTACGGAAGAGCGGGCGGTGGCAGCAGCGGCAAGCGATGCGACGATGGCGCGCTTTTTCACAATCGCTACATTTTTTCCTGCTGGGACGCACAATTCTCACGAGAACTCCTGTCGAATTCTGCACTCCGGCCAAACCCCATCGACTTCTTCGAACCCTCGCTCAAATAGACAGTCGATCTTTGCTGGGTCCTCGTGAGCGCGAGACGGGGCATCCGCCAAGTTCTGAGCAGGCGGTGCGCGGAATGGGCGCAGAACGTCGCCCCTGTCTGCCGCTGCGAACCAAATCGAGGTCACCAGACAGTTCCAGTCGACATGCCGGGAGGTCCCTCGAAGCAGTGCGCCTAGAGCAGGGTTGGAATCCACGAACAACAATGTCTCCAATTGCGTCGCACTAAAGTTGAACGCGCGCCAAAGACCCGACACTGCAGCGACGAACTCCAACGCGCCGATTTGCTGCCGGCGTGGCCTGACCACGTTTCGCAGCCACCGTGGGGCCCAGGTCTTGGCGAACTGCTTGCGGTCGCCGCAAATCATAACCCAGGAAGGAGACCCGCGACCGGTCGCATCTGCATACATGAAAGGGATCGCACGGCGCGGCTGCGAGCGTAGAAACCGAAGCCACCACTCAAGCGCGCTGGAGGCGCAGGGGCAGAATGGAAGACTGACGTGTGGCATGATTGAAAAGAGCGGCCAGATAAACTCTGGCGCACCTGCCGAAAACCATCGCTGCTCCCCAAGTAAAATTGCCTGCCAACTTGCGCGCGGCAGCAGGAGAGAGCAGGTTCGATGCCCAAATCGACTCGACCTCAGCAATCCAGTTCAAACGTTTTGCCTCCGGCACCCCAAAAACAAAATGCTTGCGGAGGTCGTCCACTGTGACCGAAATTCCAAGGATGAGCGCCACTTGAGCATCTGTCACTGCTTTGGCGTCGTCAAGTTCCCACCCGAGAACTCCTGCGCGACTTCGCGCGCGAGAAATGCCGTGCCTGTGGGTCCTTTTGAAACATGTGTCCTGCGACGTCGCCCGGTCCGCGCCGAAAAGATCATCGACGAAGCGCGGGTATAAAATCCGGAACAACTCCCGCAAAATGCGCTGGGAGGCTGCCGCAACGCGGCGCCACGACTGCGCGCTTGAAAGAACGGGCACGAGAAGAGCTGTAGTCCGCGCCCTGTCTGCGCCGACTCCTGCGCGACTGAGATGGCGCGCGGCAAGTCCTGAGAACGGATGGGCAACGTCTTGTACGCCCCCGCCACGTCATCTTTCCGGAGGCGGAAGTGGGTGGACTCAACAAGTGTCTCTGCCCAGATGGCCTGCACGATTGCCACGAACTCGTCCAAAACGTCGCGACAGTTGCGCTCCGACACCCGGGTGGCTTCACTCACCCGGGAGGCGTGGAAATCGTCCACTGGTCGGACTTTCCGCGCCAGCGCGTCTCCTTTTCCCTTCCAGCCTTGGTCCACGCCAAAACGCGGAGACAACACCACGTCGCAAAGCGTCGGCGACAACGTCGTCCATTCCGCCTTGCCCGACGACATTTCCGCCGCTGTCTGGGCGCGCAGAGCACGGGTCGCCTCGTCGTCGGTTTGAAATGACGAACTGGCCCGCTGGATCATTGACGTGTTCTTACCAGGAGCCGGGGCAGGGGCACCGGGGACACACTTGACGGCAACGTGCCGCTCGGCGGGGTATCTCCCACGAGCTGAAAACCTTCCTCCAAACACTGGGCTAGCTGAGTGTCTGGGCTACGCGATGCCTCCAGCATCTCTGAGAGCAAAAGCAAGTTCTTGTCCGGGTCCAGAACGGCGCGCACGTGCGCGGGGGGGGCCAAATACCTCTGGCGCCATGCCGGGCCCGTCACTCGTTTGCGTTCGCGCCAGAATGCCAAGGCGGAAACCCGGAAACGATGCAACGCCTCGCGGTCGCGGGCTTCGTGGGCAACAAATTCACGCACGCAGGAAGGTGCTTTAAATATTCCCATGCACGGCGGCAGAGAAAGCGCCCACTCTAAATGGTGAGCGGGGGACATGCAAGAAAGCCTATGTACATCGCTCCACAAGCCGTTCACTTTAGCTTGCAATTCTTGAAATCGGTTGTAAACCCAACCGGGTCGTCCGAGCCTTCACTTGGCTCGCCCCGCGCGGCGGGGGGCGACTCCGACCGGCGATCGGAGACGCTGGAGGCGCTGTCGTGGGCGCCTCACGGCTTCCTCGTGTCCGTCCACTTCTTCCACTGCGCGTTGCGCAAGCTCCCCTGCCAGCCGCTGGACGCCCCGTGGCCGTGGGAGCCCTTGGAATTGCCGTGCGAGCCCTTGGCGCCCCCGTTGCCCGAGTGCTTGGGGCTCCGCGACCGGCCGCGCGGCAGCGTCCTCGGCCTCCGGGTTGGCTCCTCCCCCTTGCCGTAGCCGGCGGAAACCTAATACCCTGCCTCCACGCCAGGCGGAAACCGTTGCAGAACGGGCGGGCCCCTTAGGGCCATTTTGAGCCGGATACTTGCTACCCCGCCTCCGCGCCAGGCGGACACCTGAAGCCTCCGCGCCAAGCGGAGTGTGGAACTCTGCGAGACGCTTGCCCCTGCGGAGAAAGAAATCCGCCGTTCCCGTGGGAGCTCCCCAAGCCATGAGGGCCCCCTGGCACACCGAAGCGCATGAAGCCCATGAGCCAGAAGGTACACGAATCGAAGAACCACGTCTCAGTGGCAGATTTTCCTCGCCCGAGGCCGCCATGCGAACGCTGCCACTGACGCCTTCGGTGGAGCTCCCTTATGGGGCCACGATCCTCGTGAGGGGTGTGCCGAAATGGCCCGGGGCCGCCATGCGAACGCTGCCACTGGGGCCTTCGGTGGAGCTCCCTATGGGGCCAGGATCCTCGTGAGGGGTGCCAAAATGGGGCGGGGCCGCCATGCGAACGCTGCCACTGGAACCTTCGGTGGAGCTCCCTATGGGGCCGCGAACCGTGTGAGGGGTGTGCCGCAATGGGGCAGGGCCGCCATGCGAACGCTGCCACTGGGGCCTTCGCTGGAGCTCCTATGGGGCCACGATCCTCGTGAGGGGGGTGCCGAAATGGCCCGGGGCCGCCATGCGAACGCTGCCACTGGCGCCTTTGGTGGAGCTCCCTATGGGGCCGCGAACCGTGTGAGGGGTGTGCCGCAATGGGGCAGGGCCGCCATGCGAACGCTGCCACTGGGGCCTTCGCTGGAGCTCCTATGGGGCCACGATCCTCGTGAGGGGTGTGCCGAAATGGCCCGATGCCGCCATGCGAACCCTGCCACCGGGGCCTTCGGTGGAGCTCCCTATGGGGCCACGATCCTCGTGAAGGGTGCGCCGAAATGGGGCGGGAACACCGTGCGAACGCTGCCACTGGGGCCTTCGGTGGAGCTCCCTATGGGGCCACGATCCTCGTAAGGGGTGTGCCGAAATGGCCCGGGGCCGCCATGCGAACGCTGCCACTGGGGCCTTTGGTGGAGCTCCCTATGGGGCCACGATCCTCGTGAGGGGTGCGCCAAAATGGGGCGGGGCCACCATGCGAACGCTGCCACTGGGGCCCTCGGTGGAGCTCCCTATGGGGCCAGGATCCTCGTGAGGGGTGTGCCGAAATGGGGCAGGGCCACCATGCGAACGCTGCCACTGGGGCCTTCGCTGGAGCTCCTATGGGGCCACGATCCTCGTGAGGGGGGTGCCGAAATGGGGCGGGGCCGCCATGCGAACGCTGCCACTGGGGCCTTCGCTGGAGCTCCCTATGGGGCCACGAAATGCTGTACTGGGTGGGTGAAACGCAGGGAGGAGGGAGGAGGAGGGGGAGGAGGAGAGAAGGGGAGGAGGAACGCGGCGCGACGTCTCTTCAAAACGAGGATCCAACACCACAGGATGGTTGGGAAAAAGAAATTGCCACAATCCTTCAAAAACCAATGGGAAATCAATGCTTTTGGCCTTTTCGGGCCTTCCTGGAGGCCCTCTTGGAGGCCTCTTGGGCCGTCTTGGGCCATCTTAGGGCCATGTTCGGCCGTCTTGGTGGGCTTCTGGTCCGCCTGACGACGTCGGAAGCTGTTTGGGGGGCCTCTATGGGCCGACGTGGGGCCCTCTTGGAATGCTCCAGGGCCGTCTTGGAGGCCATCTTGGGCGTCTTAAAGGCCTCCTGTGCCGTCTTGGCGGCCTCTTGGGGCCGTCTTGGGGCCCTCTTGGGCCGTCCTGGGGCCATCTTGGAGGCCTCTTGGGCGATCTTTCGGCGATCTTTGGGGGCTCTTGGGCCGTCTCGGGCCGTCGGAAGGCCGAAAAGAAGCAACTGTCAAAATCCGTCATAAGAACAATCAATGTTTTTGGCCTCCTCTGGCCTTCCTGCAGAGGCCCTCTTGGGGGCCTCTTGGGCCGTTTTGGGCCAGCTTCGAGCCAACTTCGGCCATCTTGGTGGGTTCCTGGCACGTCTGACGCCGTCGGGAGCTATCTTGGGGGCCTCTCTGGGCCGACTTGGGGCCCTCTTGGGGCTCTTCGGGGCCGTCTTGGAGGCCATCTTGAGCCTCTTGGGTCGTCTTTGTGCCCTCTTGGGGTCGTCTTGGGGGCCTCTTGGGCCGTCACGGAGCCATCTTGGAGGCCTCTTGGGCGATCTTGGGACGACCTTGGGGGTCTCTTGGGCCGTCTGGGGCCGTCGGAAAGCCGAAAAGGTGCAATGCCAAAATCCTAAGGAAAATCAATGATTTTGCCTCGTCGGGCCTTCCTGGAGAACCTCTTGGAGGCCTCGTGGGCCGTCTTGGAAGCCTCTGGGGGGCCTCGTGGGCCGTCTTGGACCATCTTCAGGCTATCTTAGGCCGTCTTGGGTACATCTTGGGCCGTCTTGGAGGCATCTTGGGGCCCTCTGAGCCGTCTTGGAGGCCATCTTGGCCGTCTTGGAGGCGTCTTGGCCGTCTTGGAGGCCATCTTGGGGCCGTCCGGGGCAGGAAAACTGTTGGCAACCGGGTCTTTCCGGGTGGCCGGCGGGACGGGCCGAGGCCCCAGGGGGAATTCTTTGGGAAGAGAACTTGCAAAACCCATATCGTCCGGCACGCCAGGCACCCCTGCGATGAATCGACAGGGGGCGGCGGATCTGAGACGCCTCCGGCGAATCACCGCCGCCCCCTGCCTTCTTGGAAGCGCCCAGATGCCGAACGTTGAGGCCAGACCTGCCAAGCTATCGGACCATGTGTTCCCCGAATCGGTTTGGAGAGCCTTCGGGGAACACGTGGGCATCGTAAAAGTAATCTTGGACGCCTGGAGGCCATTTGGACCCTTTCGGGCCTTCTTGGAGGACATCTTGGAGGGCTCTTGGGCCGTCTTGGAGGCCATCTTGAGCGTCTTGGTCTTGGGCCGTCGTGGGGGGCCTCTCGGGGCCGTCGTGGGCCCGTTGGGCGATCTTTGGAGGCACTTGGGCCGTCTCGGGCCGTCGGAAGGCAGAAAAACATGCGAATGCCACAATCCTTCAAAAACCCATGGGAAATCAATGATTTTGACCTTGTCGGCCCTTCCTGGATGCCCTCTTGGAAGCCTCTTGGGCCGTCTTGGGCCATCATAGGGCCATCTTCGGACGTTTTGGTGGGCTCCTGGTCCGTCCGACGCCGTCGGAAGCCGTTTGGGGGGCCCCACTGGGCCAACTTGGGGTCCTCTTGTAATGCTCCAGGGCCGTCTTGGAGGCTATCTTGGGCGTCTGAAAAGCCTCCTGGGCCGTCTTGGGGGCCTCTTGGGCCGTTCTGGGGCCATCTTGGAGGCCTCTTGGGCGATCTTTCGGCGATATTTAGAGGCTCTTGGGCCGTATTGGCCGAAAAGAAACAAATGCCAAACACCTTCATAAACGCATGAACAAAAAAACAATGCTTTTGGCCTTCATGGAGACCCTCTTGGAGGCCTCTTGGGCCGTCTTGGGCCAGCTTCGAGCCAACTTCGGCCATCTTGGTGGGCTCCTGGCCCGTCTGACGCAGTCGGAAGCCGTTTGGGGAGCCTCTCTGGGCCGACTTGGGACCCTCTTGGGGCGCTTCAGGGCCGTCTTAGAGGCCATCTTGGGCGTCTTGGAAGCCACTTGGGTCGTCTTTGTGCCCTCTTGGGTCCGTCTTGGGGGCCTCTTGGGCAGTCCTGAGGCCATCTTGGAAGCCTCTTGGGCGCTGTGGGGGCGATCTTGGGGGCCTCTTGGGCCGTCTTGGGTCGTCGGAAAACCGAAAAGGAGCAAATACGGAAAACCTTTAACTATCCTGGCGATGGGCCCAACCATATGCAGTTACGAGTACAGCAAAGCAGGTTGAACGAATGAGAGGGAACTCCCTAAGGGGCCACGAAACGTGTGAGAGCTGTGCCGACATGGGTGCGGTGCCGCCATGCGAACGCAGCCACTGGGGCCCTCGGTGGAGCTCCCTATGGGGCCACGAAACGTGTGAGGGGTGTGCCGAAATTGGTGCGGTGCCGCCATGCGAACGCAGCCACTGGGGCCGTCGGTGGAGCTCCCTACGGGGCCACGAAACGTGTGAGGGGTGTGCCGAAATGGGCGCGGTGCCGCCATGCGGACGCAGCCACTGAGGCCCTCGGTGGAGCTGCCTATGGGGCCAAGAAACGTGTGAGGGGTGTCCCGAAATGGGTGCGGTGCCGCCATGCGAACGCAGCCACTGGAGCCCTCGGTGGAGCTCCCTATGGGGCCACGAAACGTTTGAGGGGTGTGCCGAAATGGGCGCGGTGCCGCCATGCGAACGCAGCCATTGGAGCCCTCGGTGGAGCTCCCTATGAAGCCACGAAACGTGTGAGGGGTGTGCCGAAATAGGTGCGGTGCCGCAATGCGAACGCAGCGCTCTGCAGAGGCGTCTTGAAGCGTCGTGGAGTGCCTTGGGGGGCCTCTCGGGCCGTCTTGGGCCTATCTTGGGCGTCCCGGAGAGGTCTTTCGGCGACTCGGGGCCCGCTTGGGCCGTCTTGGGAGCCTCTGGAGGCCCTCCTGGACAATTTTGGACCTCCCCGGCCGCCCCGTCCTCTCATGGGGGGTCGGAGGCGGCGGCCTCCGAGGCCCAAGACGCCGAAACCCTAAAAAAACAAACGGAAAATGAGCCCCGGTACCCTCATGGAGGGTCGGGGCAGCTGTTTTCGGGCACAGGGCCTCCTGGGTGCCTCTTGGGGGTCTCCTGGGGCCTCTGGGGGCCCCTTTGGGGCCTCCTGGGCCCTGTGGAGGCGGGAGGCTCGAATTTCCGGTTCGCGGTTCCCCTCTTGGGGCCGTCTTGGGCCTCTCTTCGCCCGTTTGGGCACGTCTTGGGCCGTCTTGGGGCCCTCCAGAGCCGTCTTGAGCCCCTCTTGGAGGCCTCTTGGGCTGTCTTGGGGCGTCCGCGGGGGGCCTTTGAGCCGTCGTGGAGCGTCGGGAAGCTGAAAAGGCGGGAAAGGCAAAATGTGTCCAAAACCTTAGCAAAATTAACGATTTTGGCCTCTTGGCGCCCTCTGGGGGGGCCTCTTGGATGCCTCTTGGAGGCCTCTTTGGCCGTCTTGGCCTTATCTTGGGCATCTTGGAGCCCTCTTGGCGCCCTCTTGGGCCTCTTGGCGCGTGGCCGGCACGACTTGCCACCGCATCGCCCCCTTTTGGCCCCCCCGACCGGTCAGGGCGACACCCGCGGCCGCGGAGCGCCGGGGCCTGCGGGCCCCCCGCTGAACGCCGACCCAGACCTCCTGCGGTAATGAATGTTTCATTACGTGGGCTCCCGCGCTGAGGAAAAATCATACAAACAAAACAACTCATTGCATGACATATGAATTCCAAAAAAAACCACATGACATTTGACCTCTGAGGTTCGAACCTCAGAGGTCAGAAATCCCCCCCGGAATCACCACCCCGGCACGCGAAGTCGTTCGGCAAACGCGCCCCAAGAAGGGGATTGTAAGCAGGGCAGGGCTGTTCAGTAGACGCCGAGGGCCGTTCAGGTGTAAACGCTAACTGTCGGGTCCGGGTGGTCTTTCCTCCCCGGAGAACCGCGACGCCCAGACCAGATGCACGCCGAAGGGGCGGGCACGGACGGGAGGGGCGTCAACTCACGGTCAGAAGGCAACTCGCGGAGACTCCTGGCCGCCCCCACGGGGCCACGTGGCGCGCCAGATCCCGCTCAGAACGGTCACGGTGCTTCCCCATCACGTGGCGCTCCTGGTGGCAGTTGGTCGCTACTGGTCGCAACGTGAACGCTTCTCGGCGCTACTGGGCGCTATTCGGCGCGATTCGCCGATGCACATTCAACTCAAAACGAACGGACATGTCCGCGATTAACAAGCTAGACGTCGTGGCCAGACTGTAACCCTCGGATGTTGCAAAGCTCTTGCAGCAACGAATTCCACTGTCCCATGTTGTCTGCGACGTATTATGCCGTCCAGGCCAGGCCATTCGTGTCTCCGTGGCGAGGGACCGCGCCGAAAGAAGATGAGGCGGGCCAAGAAACGTGTGGAAGATATTGTGGACCTGGCCATGATACATGCCCCCGATGGTCCTCACCGCCCCCTCGACACCTGGCAGCTATCGGGTCAGAACTTGGGGCTCTGGCAGTCAGTCAGGGCGATTCGGGCACCCCCAGAAAACTAACGACGAAGCGCAATTGCTGGAAAGTATTCCGGATCGAGAAAACCACCGATCAATCGGTTTAACTGTACCCTGGGGGTGTTGAGCGTGACGGAACCAGGGCGAGCGGCAGGCGAACATGCGTACCTAAATGATTTTAGAGCCCCCCCGTCCTCCCCTCCTCATCCCCCTTCCCCCGCCTCCTCCTCCCCCTTCCTCCGGGCATCCCCCCGCTCTCATGTTTCCTGTCATCCCGCCTCCTCGCCAATCCCACCGCCCTCCTCTCCTCCGTTTTCATCTCTAGAGACCTCCCACATAGTGTCCGAGTAGATGTGGTTCGAGGATCGCGCCGCATCGCCGACGCAAAATCAGTGCATCGGCGATGTCTCGTCAACGCATCGGCGACGTCGGCGATGCATCGGTAATGTTGGCATGGAGAACCCCCTCGCATCGAGCAAAATCGGCGATGCACCAGCGATGCGGCGCAATCATCCGACGCCATCTGCTCCGACCACGGATGGAAGAGGGCACGGGGGAACGGTGGTCAACGGGGTCCGGGCGGGAGTGGGTGGGGCAACGTGCAGAGGCAGTGGGGGGCGATGGTGTGCGGGGCAGGGGGGGGGGCATGGGGGCACGTTGGGGCCGGTGCGTGTGGACATGGGAGGAGGAGGAGGAGGAGGAGGAGGAGGAGGAGGAGGAGGAGGAGGAGGAGGAGGAGGAGGAGGAGGAGGAGGAGAGGGAGGAAGGAGGAGGAGGAGGAGGAGGAGGAGAAGGAGGAGGAGGAAGGAAGAGGAGGAGGAGGAGGAGGAGGAAGAGGAGAAGGAGGAGGAGGAAGGAAAAGGAGGAGGAGAAGAAGGGCCCAAACCAAACGCGCACAGGCAACAATTCTACAACATTCCGCCTTAATTAGGCCGATGGACCATTGTAGCCGGCCCCACTGGGAAAAATTGCCGATCCAAGCCGAAATGGCACTTTTCTATGAAATCCGGGAACCCAGCGAAAACTCGAGTTAGGCAGAAAAATCGTTGAACGACAGAAGTCGCAAAGGTCGCAAGTCGCAAGTCTTTGTTTGCGCAAGTTCGCAGCAAGTTGGTCTTACAGCGGTCCATCCATCGAAGCTCGGAAGCGAGGGAAAGTGTGAGGGGGATGGGATCTCGGAAGCAAGGGCCTCCAATATTGCACAAAAGCAAAAAGGAAATAATTAGCCTGACGAAAGACCCACCCAGATGCAAGTGCGAGTACCGCAGGGCAGGTGGGACGAAAGATGGGGCGCTCCCTATTGGGCCACGAACCGTATGAGGGGTGTGCCGAAATTGGCATGCGGTGGGCGGGGAGGACGCATGCGAACTGTGCCATTGGGGCCTTGGGTGGAGCTCCCTATGGGGTTACGAACCGCGCGAGGGGTATGCCGGAGGAGGAGGAGGAAAAGGACGAGGAGGAGGAGGACGAGGAGGAGGAGGAGGAGGAGGGAGGAGGGAGGAGTAAGGAGGAAGGAGGAAGGAGGAAGGAGGAACGCGGGACGCTGTCTCTTCAAAGCGAGGACCCAACAACGCAGGTTGAGAGGACGATGTTGTATCGATTTTGGCAATCCATGAGTCCTGGAGTCCCGGAGTAGGCCATTTTGGCCCAAGATGGCGGGCGGCGGCGGAGATCCGTTGCTTTTAGCGGGCATCGTGCCGCCGACGGATCCGCTGGATGCGGTGCTGGGGCCTCGCCCCAGCCGCCCCAGCCCGGGCCCTGGCGGCGGCCCGAGCGCCGCCAGCGGCAGCGCAGGCAGCAGCGTCGCTGCGCAGACCCAGCCCAGCAGCGTCGCTCCGCAGAAGCAGCCGAGACGGCCTCTGGTTTGCTTGGAGGCGGCCA